GGGAGGGAGGCATGCATCACTGAAGCATTGGCCCAGATGGCGCCCAAGGCAGGTGCAAATCTCGGCCTACAATTAGTCTTACCTCGATGAACTCTTTACCAATATTTTTAAGATGAATGTATTCTGTATTAAAGGTAAAGACCAGTTATGGTCATGCGATTGCATTGTGAAAGAAACGTTGTGGAATCGATCAGAAAAGGTTGATCATCTAGCATCTAGCATCTGCAAGGTTCTGGAATCATCAAAATGATAAGAAATTTGGCCCATTCTTTGTAAAGTTACAAGCACTATACACAGAAAGATGTATATGGGACTACCCTATATCTCTCACAGACCATGAGAGAAACAAATTTACCAAATATATGAATTAGTAGGCGGTTTCCCAGCAAATTTTTTATCATCATGTATTAGTCAAAACATATTCTTTCACATGATTGGTAATGAGAGCTTCCATTTCATTTTTTGAAATTGGGGCGTTTCCAATACTGGTCTTTACTTTTAAGTAAACACCGCACTTGTCATCTGTATTGTTTTGATGATGGATCTTAACTTCATCTTTAATATGTGAGAGAACATTATTAATGGACTCAAAAGTTTTCAGACCAGCACATTTTGTATTTAAAATCGAAATATTACTGAGGAAAAGGAAAGATACTGAAAACGTACAATACTCAATGTTTGAAAAGCAGGTGATAAAAGATGTATCTGTTGAAAGAACAACTTTTAAAAGATATTCTTCAAATGATTTCATCCAGGAGGCAGTCTGTACTTTTTTCAAAGGTGTTATTTGCTGTCCAAATATCAGAGATAGCCATGTATCACATCTTACATCTCTTTATTGCTCCTTGCTAGTGGGTGATTGTGAGGAATTTCACAGCAACGCAGAGGTATTTGATCAAGGACCTGGAATTGGTGTCTTTCTATGGTTGTTATGATTTGGTTGCTTCAATTATCTGGACATCAATATCTCTTATTCCCCCACCCCTCCTCCCAAATGGCTGTTGGAACATCAAGCCTTTATACTTCTGGTACCAGAGAGAATACCATTATGAATCGTCTGTTAGCTTTTGGAGTTTGCATGTTGATCAAGCACTTTTATCTCATGTAGAGTGGAAGATTGTGCCCTCCAGAGAAATAGAAAAAGTTATTTCATTCACATTGATTTTGATCTTATTCAGGTATATGTATGGGCACTTTAGCTTCACTTAAATCACTATTCAGTTAAATTCTTGTGAGAAAGACATCTTCAAGATAGGAGGTTAGGAATGAGAGGAAGTTCAGCTGAAATCTTGCAACAAATTATGTCAAACATATTTGATTTTGATTGAAAGTATTCAATAGTATCAATTTTTGTGGAAAAACGTATATATATATTTGGATGCATCATAGTAATTTTGAGTAGATTTCCATCCCTTTCACCTGACAATGAACAAGGTTTCAGAAGGTTCAAAGTGCCTTCTTTAAAACATTTGAACATTGCCCAACATGGCAACAATGTATAGCATAGTACAGTTAAAAAGCTGCATAATTTTCTGTTAGGTTTCAAAGGGGTTTAAGAAGGATTCAGATAATAACTATGTATGTATCTATTCATGTATGGAAAAAAGCTGACTTTGTTTTGATACAGCTAAAATGATTTACTTAATCAGGTATCATCCATCATCCAAATTTAGAACAGAAAAAGAGCTCTAGGCAAAAACATGATTAGCCATAATTACAGAGCTTGTGCATTCCTATTTTGATGACCATTTTGGTTTATTTATGGATTGTGAATAAGAGAGCTTTTATTTGAACTTGAGTGAAAATTCAAATGCTTGAGGAAATAGTGCAACAATTTCAGGAATAATGACCTTTTCTAATTAGAACAATTGTTTGGAGGTTGACGGATAACCAAGCCCCTGGTTTTGGAAGATTTTCAGCTTTGGGAATTGCTGAAATTATACCGTTTGTGAGAGAAAAAAAACAGATCAAAAGAGAGAGTAAGAGGTTTTTGATTTATTGAAGTAATCCCCTGACTCTCAGAACTACATTAATTGGATTAATGGCCTCCTTTTTGTTCTAAAAATAATATACATCTTAAAAGCCCAGAAACACTTTTTTGTAAGTCTACCTAAAGTGTTTTGTTTCATTCTAGTATTATCTGTTGAGAGCCAGAAGGGTGTTAAGTCATTTTGCATAGTTTATGCTCTTCTGATACTCATTGTACAATATATTTATTGCTGAATAGCAACTTATGTGAAAATTTCATAAAGCTGCTGCAAAGTCTAATTTTATGATATTGGAGATGAAAAGTAATTTAGATTTCCCAATGTAGTAATAGTTTCAATAATCTTTTGTTTTACTCTGTTTATGTAACTCTTTCCGTACTTAGGAATTAAAGTAAATGACTTTGAGAAATGTTCTACATTTTAGAATTTTCATGATTGCATTGGATTCACTTTGTATTAGGATTCTTTCCATTGAAGTACTTATATATATAGTCTTAACTTGCAGAGGTAAAAAATGGTATGTAAGATATAAATGAAACTCAGATAGCAGTGCTACATTTATATCATGTATATTAGAATTAAGATATAAGGTAGGGTAGATCGATACTGCTGAAATCAGTCCTTTTATCAGGTATATTTGGACAAATAACAGAGGTTGTTTGGAAGGGACCTAATTTGGATCTTCCTGTTAGCGAGCGAAGATGCTGTGAATTACACCAAATTTCATAAGAGGAATCACTGAATTGAACGTAAGAAGAAGCGTGTGAATGGAACATGGAACGGAATCCACGGGTTAGATGAATGAAACAAATTGTAACGGTTTAATTTACGAAAGTGATCCATTGAGGGGACAGCAAGCAGTGCCCGGCTTGGTGGGATTAAATGACTTGATTTCAGGTCCCCATGTCATCTTCTTAAAAGCTTCGTCATGTTGCCAATTTGACTTATAGAAGACACTTCTTGTCATCGTTACCGCTCAGATTACCTGTTGACCCAGATACTCGTACTTTAATCCCGCTGTTATTTACTAGGTTATACAAAACATATTTCTTTTCTCTTTTCCTCTCCATCCCTCCATCTCTCTCTCACAATGTATCTGTATTGTGTCTCATTGACAACTACATTGTGAGAGAGAGAGAGATGGAGGGATAGAGAGGAAAAGAGAAAAGAAATATTCAAGAAATATGTTTCATATAACCTAGTAAATACGATGTCCTGGGACCCTTTTCACAAAACTTGTCATCAGTGACAAATGACATTCTGTGTTATAAGCTACTGAAATACTTGCTTCTGATTGGTTATCAGCAGATTTGTCATTGGTTTTGTCATTTGTCATTGAACAAAGGCTTTGTGAAACGAGTACCTAGTTTTGTTCTGTATTGGTGTAGAAATCTACTATACTGTAAATGAGAGAATGTAAGTATGACGTTGCGTTAAGACTTTGATTTGGATAATCAGAGCAGATATCTAGTATATCACCATTCTAACATGTGCATGATTATTAGGAATGCACTTGTGTATCTTACCTAAATGGCAGATGAGTAGGATACCTCATATTAATCATTTTGTATGGAAAAGATTATCATTTCATTTCATTATTCAAGATAGTTGCAGGTGCCCCCACCCCATCATAATGCGATCTCTGGGGCATACATTAAGTACCGACAGAGAGAATGTGCCCCTCATTTGTCATACCCCTTCATTTGCTGCCCCTCAGCCCCATTACAACCTTAGACAAAAAAGGCACATTGAAATGTGATAAATTTTCTTCTTTGCACTTCTTGGAATTAGAAAATTCTCAAGACCCTTTCTTTTTTCCGCCCCCTGAGAATCATGGATCTATTATTGTGATGTATTGCAAAAAAGGAATTCATACTTATATCTCACTTCTTTTATCCTTAACTCTATTTTCACAATATTTCATTTCTTTGATTAAATTTGATCTCTTCATTTCAAAAAGTTACTGGTCTGGAGCCTCATGTCTGTCTCCAAAAAATTGTTCTGTACTGCTCAATTCTTATTTAGACAATTAGATATCAAATGTCAAAGATAAAATGAACAGCTTTCCTTTTTATGTGATTTAACCCTCAGCCTGTGGCATGCATGGTTGCCCTTGAAAAATAAATGAGAAAAATAAAACATGTGGTTTAATTCCATGTTTTTGTATGTTTAGTGGTACCCCAATGCCAGCATATCTTTCTGGAATGAGACAGAGAAATCTACTAGCACCATTCATAGTATCATGTTCATGTCACACTACCTTTAACTAAGTTGAACTCTTTACAGTACTTTTGGGAAAATGCATTATTCTTTTTAAAAACTATCGTGCCTAATATTTCCAGAAGAGAAATTCAAGATGGTGATAAAGTTTCACAAGTTTATAAATAATTTGATTGACAGACTATCGCTATTTTTGTCTGTGTTAACAGATACTTATGATCTTCTCATTTTTTATAGTGATCATGAAAGTATTGGTTTATTTTATGATGGTAAGATAAGGTCAAGAGTACTTTATAGAGAAATATAGAATACAATATTGCTGGAGTATATGCTAATAGAGTAAATGTGTTATTCCCATGGATATGATTTATGATGCGGTATGGTTACCCTTGGATGAAGGACGATTCGGTATTATTGATTAATTTTTTGAGAGAGTTGTTCAGAGGATTGAAAGGTGCTCAAGTCTTCTCAGGGAATCTAAGAGGTGGAGAATGTAATGATATTACTTTATGAATGACAGAATGATACCATTTGATAGCTGTGCTACAAAAATACATGTACGTCTTAATGGATAGTTTTATGTTGTAAACATAAATTTCATCTCAATCAATTGTAGAAGCTAAGGATTTGCGGAACAGTAATTGAGGCAATTTTATTAAAGATCCTTAATATTCCTCATCTAAAGCTAGAAACAGGGAACAACAAAATGAATTCATTACTCATTTTTGTCTATATATAGAAAACCGTCTTTATCATTATTTATACATCTCAATCTTTTCTTCCAATTCACAGATCCACCACCGAGGGAGACATTACTCCATTTTGCGGCTCGCTTTGGTCTGAGGGACTTTGCTGAGCATCTTCTTGACCATCCAGCCTCGGACGTAGCGCTCAAACTACCCAATAAAGACGGGGATCTGGCCGTTGAACTCGCCAGGACATCTGGACTGGATAGCCTGGCTGATCGCATGCTTGAGTAAGTTTTTTTCTCTATATTGATATTGTGGTACACTGCCCAAGATTTATAGAAAATTGGTCTTTGTGTGCAGGTTGTCTTTAGTATAGGGCTTCAATGGTCTTTAAAGACAGGTGGTCGCTGAGGCAGGTTCAACTTTAGTTGAAATATTTCAAATTGTACTTTTCATTTCATAAAGCCTAACAAAAACTTTGAAGCTTTATATGTGACATATCAAATAATGGGAAACAGTGATGGATGAAAAATTATGTGCTTATTATTGACCTTTAAGCCTACTATAGTTTCTGAATGTAGAAATGAAGAGCTAGAGAAGAAACATTGATCATTATAGTTAATTAAACCCACATATGTGTATGTTTGAGTGATAGAGATTTGAATCATTCTAAAACGAGAGACCATCAGTCAACCTAACACCCCTGTGATTTTAAAAGGCATAGAAACTAGAATCCTGCGTTGTATAACACACAGTCATCATTCAGATTACAACAACGTGTGCGTCAATAGTATGCTCGGGTAAGAAGACCCTTCCCTTTAAATGTCCCTACAAAGATATATCCGTCCTTAAGGGGCATTGGACATCGACCGGAATCCCCCCAATTTGATCACGAGTGAGCACAAACTTGTCATCGAGAGTGACGTGGAAACAGGGGCATTGTCAAAACATGGATGGAGGACTGTTTTCTCTCTCATCACGTACGCATCCATTCAATATTGGTAGAGTCAGTGCATTGGCCCACTTTCACTAAATGAGAAAATTCTGCCTCTTTTTTCCTATCTACCTTTTCTATTTGATGTCGCGAGCGAAGGGCATCTCGCCCTGTTGAAGGACAAGACGTTGCGGGTAAAAAGGTCATTGCTTGAGGGTTTTCTGGTGCTACTTTCTTGCCAGGTTATTGTTAGCAAGAACAAAGATATTGAGCCTCTTTAATTATTTTTAACCCAAGAGGGACAGGCTGTCTCCTTTTCCCACCAAGTGACAAGATTTTAAGTAATTTAGTCGCTCTGTTAGAGAGACAGAATTCTGATGAGCAAGTAATTTATTTGAGTGTTTTTTTAATATTAATAAAGATGTAGATTAGTCTTAAATTAGAAAAGCTACTGGCAGCTTTTAAAGAAATGAGAACAAGTAATACACTGAACAGTTCCACAATTTTCAGAGTACGCTATAATAGAATAAACAGTGTATTTCAATCCAATACTCTTGCCATGACCGCGTATTATAATTTATATGGGACATGTTTAAATATTAAAAAAGAAGCATCTATTTGAAGTCCTAATTTAGCGTATATTTCTTAAAAAAAATAATGTATAAACAATTTTTCATCTTCAAAATCATTGCATCATACAAATATTGTAAATAGATTTAATTTTTCCTTTACAAAAAACCCTTCCAAGGATGACTTCCTTCTTTCCCTTTAAGAGATGAGTTGAGATGATATGAGAAAGAATATTGGCTAGTGTTGATATCACCCAGGAATGATGGCATACAATATCTATTTTCTTGCCTTCGGGAGGAATAACCCAAGAGAAATAGAATAAATCAATGTCATATAAACCTCTGCAGAGTTCACTGTCATCCTCATGACTCCCAAACATCCAAAATAACTCTCTCCCCAAAATAAGCCCGAAATATATATCTTGAATCGCTCCTTTCAATTGAATAGAGCATGCTTTATCCTAGTAATATGCAGAAGAAATATGGAATGACTGTCAGCTCACTCTTTTCTGTACTTAGGCCATTATGAGATCAACTATAATTGAGAATCTAAAACCCTTCATAACTGTTTTGGTTTAGATGCTTTAACTCCATATTCAGGTGAAATTGTTTTGGAGAGTGGCATGTTGATGTATGAGAATTCAAAAGAGCTTGGAGGCATTTACGATATATCAAAAATAAATTGCTTGCTCTATGTTTCTCTCTCTCTGTTTCTTCATTTTTGTCTCACTCTCTACATCTCTATCAGTTTCAACATCTCCCTCTCTCTCACTTTATCTTTCTCTCTCTCTCTCTTTCCTCGTCTTGCTGACATGCACATGTTGATTTGTATTCTCTTGAGTGTATTTTACATGGAAAAGCAAGATGTGAGTGATATTGCTTTTGAATAGAAGATATTTCTGGAAATTAATATTTTGGATGAAGATTGATTGTCTGTCGAGGGTAGGAAAGATCTTCAGGGGCACAAGAATACCTGCATAATTCATTCATTTAAACAAAAAATTGACTGCCAAGCCCAAGACTGCCAAGCCCAAGAAGCCTGCGGGAAAGAAGGCTGCAAAGTCCAAGTCCAAGAAGGCTGTCAAACACACAGTATGCGAATGAAAGTGTTTTTGCATTAGTTTCAATAACAGGCAGGATAATGATAAGTAGTAAAATAAACAATTCTTCATGTTCTGAAAGAAATTCATTTTTTTAAATTCTGACTTTTTTTGCAGGGTAAATCATACTATATGATGGGCTGATAGTATTATTTTCTATGATATTGGTATACATTCATTGTTTAAAAATGTTGTTATTTAAACTAGCTCATCATCTTTAATAATTAGCAAACAAAATAACATACTTGTCTGCTCTACCGTGCAGTGAGTACAATTTAACATCAACATATAGATCAAGCATACACCCTTGACCACATACTCTAACACAGCCTAGTTATTGATGATACATGCTGTCATCATCAGCTCGAGATTGCCAAATATCCTGCTATTTGAACTATCCCGGTTGCAAATAATCCAGTTAATTTGCGTCTCCATCAGTCCGAAGTTGCAATTAGCGGGATTTTTCGTTGAGATAATCATCCCAAGATATCTTGGGCTAGTTTGCAAAATATCCCGCTATTTATCCGGTGCGTCTTCACCAGGCCGAAGACTCCCTCTATGCTCGAACGCTGAGCAAAATATCCAGCTCGAGTTTCAAGTTTCAAGGTCAAGTCTTGAGCTGATGAAGGCGCGATTTGTAGCTTCGGGATTATTTCCCAAATCAGAAATAGCGGGCTATTTGGCTATCTCGAGCTGATGAAGACAGGCCTATTGCTGAAGTCATATACATGCTGTTGTATTGTTAGAAGAATTCTAGGAATGTGTGTAATGCCAAGTGGTGCTCTGTGGTGCTCTGCAAGGCACCCATAGTTTAGATATTTGACGAGTGGTTTCTGCTGGGTCCAGCCGTTTGATACTGGGAAGTGAGCGATGGGTGGTCAGTCGTTGCCAACGAGCTACAGCTTTCAAAGCTTGACTTCCGTCAGCACGATTGCACAGACTCTCAAGAAATCAACTCAAGAAAAATAAAAATTCAATACCTTATTTTATATCTTATAAAAAGTCATGTTCCGGTTATGCAATACATCATTGTAATGTTCACCCCTTTTTAAAAGGTGATGCACAAGGCTATTGTTATTGATTTTTTTTTAGATAGATAATTTGTATATTAGTCGCCAAAACATTGAATTCTGTAAATATTGTCTCACAGAATAATGGCCTTAAAAATAATCCTGAGACACAATTGACTCAAACACTCTATCATTAACCCTTTAAATGCATAATTTAGTCAGGAATGCTAATTTGATAAAAAAAATGGCCCATAATCTACCGTAAGTTATGTTAATTAGGATATGTTCCACAATCATCCATGTGAATCAGTGCTATTTGTAATATTTGTTTTTCTACAATTTCATTATTGTATTGTAGGCTTTCAGCGAATGTAGGAAGGTATGTTTGTAAACAAATTTTTACTTTTTTGGTTGGGATGCATTTTTCTGGTGAAAGGAAGTTCTGGAAGTCTAGAGTAGGTTTTCTTCCAATTTTCTCTCTCAGCACTTCTCACTCTATACATAAGCATGTAACAGCGGTGTTATGGGGCTTACTTGCACCAACATTATCTTTTTATCCATTTTCCCTTTTTGTTGGTCAGATTTGATGAATATGGGACATGTGATTGCAGTATGATTGTTGTAGCACATATTTATTTGGAGCCATAAGGGTGCTAGCACACAGAGTTAACTCCCTTCTGTCTCCAAACACATGATATTACACACGTGTCTGAAGTGATGATGCTCAAGTTTACATAGCACTGCACAGTTTGGTCATGGCTATGAATGTATGTATTGCATCAGTGCATCTCTTTTAATTGTCATATTGTATTACACATTTCAAAGCAAATGATTCCAATTCATTCCAAAGTGATTAAAAAAAGTAAGCAAACACCAATTGAAATAGTTCTGCACAAATTAAATTGGCAGATAATTAAAGCAGATTACACGCCCTATTTAATATGTTTGATAGTGCACATTTGGTGATGCACATCAAATAATTCAGGTTTTAAAAGCAAGGCTCTCCGATGTGGCATAGTCTGTAATGGAAACCAATCAATTGGAAAATAATTCATGAATAAAAAGAATAAGCAGGGCAAACCAGGTTAAAGGTATAGATCTTCCAACTCTCCTATTGATAGTATTAAAAAATTAGTATTTTAGAAACCAGAAGCTGGAATTAAACATTTATATCTTTAGATTTAAGATGTAACTTTGTATTTAGGCATGGCTCGATCTCACGATTTGCTGTTTTCATTTCTTCACCTTTGTGTTTTTATGTTGTATGAACACATTGAATACAATGCTGGGTAATAATAATAATAATAGTGGGTTCTTGTATAGCGCTCATGTCTGACACTCCTGGTGCTAACGATTATTACCTTGGCTTTAGCACGGCTGCCAGTTATGGCGCTCTAGCATTTCAAGAAATTTTCTGTCAGGTACCCATTTACATGACCTGGGTTGAATGTGGCAAATGTAGATCAATGTCGTGCCAAAGGACATTAGTGCCGCAGCGGGACTCGAACGGCGGACCTTGTGATCGACAGTGACGTATCCACTCTAAATCTATATTCACATCTTACTTAGATGAATGTTACACAGACTTACTCGCACTCCCTCTCCCCAGAAAAAAAATATCAAAGTCCTTACAGTCCTTCTGTAAACACAATACACGCACCTTCTCTGAGCATATTGACAAACCAGCCTTGTCTGGCCTTGATAATGACATCACGCCCTTGTGATGATGGAATCAGGACCTTGTGATGGTGATGCCATCCCTTAAGTACCGGTCTCAACGTCAGTTACTAATCGGGATGAACTGACCGTAAGTGGGATGGAATTTAGAGGCCGTCTATTCATGCTCTATTTTGAAATTCAAATCGACAACCCACTCTTGTCCAATTACCATGTAGATACACGTAATAAGGGCAGATATAATGTGAACATGCCCTGTGTTGAGAGCCAGAAGGGTATTGGCTCTGTGATGAGGATAAGGTCCTGTTCAGATTTGGCACGGCAAAACTGGCGTTTTTTGTTTGTTAATGATGACATAAAATGAATATGCGTCACATTCTATATCTTATAACACAGAGCTCACTGAATACGCGCAGGACCTTCGTTGCACAGTTACCTTTCATTTACATGAAAAAAATCATGGCTTTTTTGTTTTTTTGCGGGGGCTTCCCACGTCATATCTGAATAAGCCTTAATAGTTAATGTTCTTTTAGCCCTCAGCAGAATATATATCCATTAGCTTTTAACTTTCTGCTGCAAAATTAGCTTTACTTCACTTTCCAATTATGTAGATAGAATTTTTTTTTTAAAGTAAAAAGGCAATTTTGCTTTATATCCAGGATGTTACATATGCTCAAATTCCTGCACTAATAGAAAATTATTAATGTGCATTCTTATTTCATCGTGTTTTATGCATTGAGAATGTTTGTACCTTCTTGAATATGTAGAATAAACTACAGAAAAGGAGATGGACAGAGAAGTTGAAGTATGGAAAAAGAGCTAGAGAGATATAAGGAGCAGAGAGAAGAAAGAGAGATTGCAAATTTTTGTTGTAACATTTTAGAGGGATCCAGATAGATTTACCGTATTATTCTCATAAATTCTTTAAGTGTTATTCCTTGAAATATAGGTACTTATGGCATGGGTAGGGTGGTACACATATCATGCAGATAATTTGCAGTTGCTCAGCATACTGCAGATTCAAAGTATTCCAAAATTTGTTTAAAACTAGAAAACTTAATTTTGTGAAGTAATGATGTCAAGGATCCAGAGAGAGTGAGACAGGGTGGGGGAGAGAAAGAGAGTAGAGAGAAAGAGAGAGAGAGAGAGGGGAGAGGGAAAGAGAGAAAGAGAGAGGGAGAGAGGAGGGAGGGGGAGGGGGAGAAGGAAAGGGAAAGAGAAAAAGAGAGAGGGAGAGAGGAGGGAGTGGGAAGGGGGAGGGAGGAGGGAGTGGGAAGGGGGAGGGGAAGAGGGAGGGGAGAGGGAGAAAGATATGGGAGGTAGTAAAACAAGCAAGCAAGGAAGACGAAAAGAAAGAAAGAAAGATTACCCAATGGAAGGGGATGCTTCCTACTCCCTTCGGAGTGTTTTCAACATGTTTCTATTCCCAGCCGTATCATTTCATTCTCGTCGTCCAGCATGAGCAGCTAAAGTATGTTGAATGTCTGTCTATATGCATTAGCCTCATCATGTCTGAGCTCTCTCTACATCTTGATTTCTCTTAGTCTCTAAAAGTGTTTCTATATGTGCTTCCAATCTCCACAGTGTAGTTTAATGGGATTGAGTTAAAAGATGAAATCAATTGACATAGATGTTACATGAAATGCATTTGATTCATGTTCCTCTTTTCATTATCTCATCTGTCTTACCTCTCCCAGTCTTCTATGTCAAACACACTCTCTCTCTCCTTCCCTCCCCTTCTCTCCCTTCCTAACCTCTCTCTTTCTCTCTACCCCCTCTCCTATCTTTCCATTTCTTCCCTCCTCTCTCCCTCCCCTCTCCCTTTCCCCTCTCCTCTCCCTTTCCCCTCTCCTCTCCCTTTCCCCTCTCTCCCCTCTCTCCCTTATCTCCCTTTCCCTCTCTCCATTTTCTATTCCTCTCTCTCCTCTCTCTCCTCTCTTTCCATCTCCCTTATGCTCTTCTGTGTATTCGTCTTCCACGTCTGTCTCTCACTCTTTGCTCTCATAAACCCTGACCCTATTTCATTTCATCTCATCTTCATTTCCATCCATCTCTTTCTTTCAATCCTCTATCCTCTCTCTTCTTCTCCCAATATACCACCTTCTCTCTCTCAACATATATTGTCTCATGGTAATGGGTTAACCATTGTGGAAACAATTACACATTAATGGGAAGCACACAGACACCATCATTGCCTTTGCTTATACAGACATCGGCTGACATTTGACACACTTTACTTTGAAACCTCAGACTATGGTTCTAACTGCAATTTTAGATGAACTTTATTTGTCATATTAATGGACATGAAATATGTGTGTACCCTCATTTTACAATGTTGTTGCTGTAGCCCCCCCCTTCCCCCTCCCCCTCCCCCTCCCTACCATGGCAAGAAGCAAAATCCTGGAATTTATAACCAGGATTTCTGATAGACAATCAATCAATCAAGTTTCAAATTACACATGATTCCCATGCAAAGACTTTTGCACTTTTATTTCATCATCTGATATTCACTTTAAAATGAAATTATTCTGCCAGATAGTTCATACCACATAAAAGTGCACCAGTATGTTTTAAAGGAATGTATTTATTCTCCCCCACGGTACCCACAATTAGGATAGATGACTAGAATGATATAATTGTGGAGAGTTTTGAGGTTTGGATTTGAATAAAGGGAAAGTATACTCTGTTTTATTGAGAAATGGTTCACTCTGCTGAAATAAAGTCAGGATAGATCTGAGTGTTGGAATTTGGATGAACAAACTGTACGATAACTAAGTTTTATGATAAAGATTTATGTCTATTTTACTCTCTAAATTGACAGCAGGATGGTGTGATTTACAAGCTAATGTATGCTTACACAATACTACCAAAAGTGAAAGTTTTGAAGATGATTTATCTCATTAAATAGAGTGCCCTAGTATTTTCTTTATTACATTATGGTTTGCACAAAGAGGTTGATGACTTAAGTGTTACAGTAGAATAGTTATATGTGTACAGATTTTATGCTGTCTTTTAGACAATAGAATAGTTAAATACAATTGTTTACAGATTGTATGACATCTTTTAGACAAAAGAATAGTTTAGTACAATGGTTTGTAGTTTTTATGATGTCTTTTAGACATTATTATATTTTGATATAAGATTTTACAAATCTATGCTGTCTTTTAGACAATAAAATATTCTAATTGAAAGTTTATTTTATGCTGTATTACCACATTGTATGCACTCTTATCACTCTCGTCACTCTTGACAAAACAAAAGCTTATCTGAAGTAGTAAGTTTCATCACTAATGATGTGTACCACCTTCACTGGAAGCATAATGATGTCATATGTCACCTGCTTCCCTGTGAATGTTGATATAAACATCATCTGAGTGGAGCTCCTCATTGAGACATTGCTCTACAATGTCTATGCATTACTTTGCTCCAATTATACAGTGGCTCATATAGATTTTTACATTTTTAAACAGCTTTGTGTTAGGTTGACATACACTGGGCATGAGTGGGAATTTAAATCCCTGGCCCAGGATGTAAGTTATGTTAATTTGATATTCCACTTTCTGAGCTCAATAAAAACACTTTCAGCAGCTTGAATCATTAAGAACTTTCTATTCATCAACTTATATCAACTAAATCTGATGGAAAGTTTGGGGATTACCAGAAAAATATACATGAGATTTAAGAAAATGCTTCTTTATGGAAGTAGTTATTTTTAAATGGACATCTTTTTTTAGGAATGATGTGCACATTCATTATACTCCAGTCACACCAACAGGACCAACGTCAGACTGACAAAGTGACTATAGACCAAACTATAAAAATGTTATTGGTCTGTTTTTGTGACTCAAGTATTACAGTCCTCAGATTATAGTTATCCTTCATTGGGAATGTTAATGAAGGTTAATAGAAATGTTATAGATACCAGCAACTTATCAATGATAGCAGTGTGAAAAGCAAAATACATGTATCTCATTACAAGTGTAGCATACAGAAAAACATATGTATGGTATTAAAGAACACGTGTTCGGATGAGTCATATGCAGTCAATAGTCTAAACACATGAGTACGGTTGATGACCATCTGTATTACACTATACCAGCTCGCCCCATATACTTGGACTGTGACTGTGTTTCTGTTACTTTTTGTGGTGTGTAGTACATTAGTTGAATTTTAAATCAAGACAGATTGTGTCTGTTGAAAATGTATGTCACGGCAGACTGAAATATCTTGTCAATTGGGAAATGTTCTGATAGTAGTGCTGAGTCCCAAATAGACAGATTATATTTTTTCTGAATTGAGATTTCTTGTGCATGTCTATTTTTAGTCTTGACTGCCACACATCAAACGAGGTTAAGCTCTATTTGCTTAGATATTAAACCACTGTAGCTATAACTGACTCTCTTAACACAGGGGTAAATTAAAGTAATTCCCTGAATGTTGTATGGTATATAATCTGGACACTATTTAATCATTATAAGCACTTTGAATCCTTTCACCTTATATATTCTTCAATTCCAAATATTGAGGTTATTATTGCATCAAAAAATTAATGGTAAAGTGGCACTTAAGACAAATTTTGTATTAACTTTAGGAATTTAAAGTTGACTGGTTTCCTATTACTTCAAGAAGTTTCCAGCTCCTTGTTGTTGTCTAGTCTTTTATAATCTTCTTCTTCTTTGTATCATTATTGTTATTAGTGATTTTTTAAAAATATTAACAATTATAATTATTATTATTATTACTATTGTGATTCTTTATAATTAAAATCTTTTCTTTTTCTTTATTTCTCCTCTTACAGACAATCATTGAATGAGGATTGCAGTCAGAGAAGTCGCCGATTAGAGCATGTAGAAGGCAAGGCCTGTAAGATCAAACGACACTATACACTCAGCACTGCTACCATTACAACCAAGCTTGATGAGAGCAACAACGACATAGGTAAGGGCTTCATCCAGATGTACCGGTAGGAGAGCATCAGGGGTGAGATGGAGTGGTGGTGGGTGGTGGGGGGGGGGGGTGGTGGTGGTGAGGAGAGGGGAGTGGTGGTGGTGAGGGGGGGTGGGGTGAGGTGGAGGGGTGGGGTGAGGTGGAGGGGTGGGGTGAGGTGGAGGGGGGTGAGGTGAGACACCTGACCAAGACTGTACATGCAGAACATCTACTATTATCACTAAGCTGGATTAAAGTAATAAGTCTAATAAAGTTCGGGCCTCTCAGGGGAGAGGGATGACTGAGGGGAGCTAAGTTGAAGTACCATTTGACTGGTGGTGGATAAGGGTGATGATGGTACGAACAGGCTGAAAATCACTTTTACATACTCCGAGCAAGGTTTGCGGAGACATATTTTATGAATTTTAACTTCTGTATCTTAGCATTGCCGAAATTTGTACCGTAGATGGATTTGTTTTGTAACCATGTAGTCATAGTGTTGGCGATGTTATGCTCCTTCAGAGAGTCCCATTTAGACAATTCCTGCATTCATGATAACTTTGTGATGTCTTTTATTATCTACAGAGGACGACATCCAGATGTTACGTGACGTGGTGAGTTACATGGAGGCAGACGAAGACGACAGTCCCAGGATGGTTTCTCCCAGGAAGCTTGGAAAACACACAAAGTTTGGTCAAGTCTCACCAGGTTAGAATTATTGTACTCTCATCATACCTGGGGGTGTTTCACAAAGACTAAGATCGACTTTAAGTTAGACTCAACTATGGCAGGCTGTTCATGCCACTGTTTGCTCTCACCATTTACTGACATTGGTTTCTCGAGGGACTTACAAATCGTGATCACAAATCTACAGAATTTACCTATTTTGATAGTTCATTATTGAAAGAAAAAATATTATCTAAAGATCGTAATTGAGAGACAAATGGTGAGAGCAACCAGTGGCATAAATGGCCTGTCAAGTTAAGTCCAACTTAAAGTTGATCTTTGTCTTTGTGAAACAAATACTATCATATGAAGTCAAACCGTAAGGCCTATGTAGGGCCAGTTCTACAAAATAATATTTGGCACTGTAAATACTAATAACACTAATGGCTAACATTTATATAACACTTACATACATATCATTTCTAAGTGCCTCACATAACGTGAAATAAACAACTTTTAATGGAAAATTTAATTAATTAACAAGATATTATATACAATATGATAGTAAATTTATCATACAAGGACATATATCGTTTTGCCCTCGTAGAAGTACTCCTTGATAGTAACATAGCGGCCAGGCAAACTCTGCATGGTAACATTTTTAACTTACAAAGTACTGAAACTTATGGTTTTCCTTGCAGTTAGTGTCATGACGATCTGGGGGGCATTTTTTGTTATAAGCTATTGAAATCCTTGCTTCTGATTGGTCATCAGCAGATTTGTCACTATTTTTGTCATATGTCATTGAAAAAAGGCTTTGTGAAACAGGTCCCTGATAACTTCCACATAGATACCATAACTGTTAGAGCATAACCACGCCCCATTTTCTTTATAGAAAAATACCTAATTTGATTGGTAAAGGTTATGACCCAGCTCTGTAATTTGTTCTTACGCTGTGTTTGTTTGATTTGTCAGCAGATCAAGGATTAAGTGAGAGCAGTTGCTCAGAAGATGAAGAAGACGAGGACGAAGAAGACTACGGCCGACATCGAGAATACAGAGGAACGCTAGAACCTGTCTTAGGTAAGAGCACTGGCTTGTTTGGTTCATATAGAAACATGATATTTCCTTCATGGAACAAGAAAGTAAAATGAAATTATTGATATCCATAATGATAATGATAATTTAACTGATGAAGTCCATAGTATGTTAATTGATGTACTAAACGATGAAGTGCATATATGCAGATGACTGAGTTATCACTAGAAAACCATGTACTCTATAAGTTGTTTTCTTAAAAGTACATTATCACGTTCATTATTGGAACTTTTCTCTTGTTTTGGTATCTTTTATTGAATCATACCAGAATCACAATATTTATAAATAATTGGAGAGTCATTAAAAAAAAAAAAATTAACCACTGCTAACTAAAAGTAACTAAAAGGACATCAAACATTGTTAAGAGCCGTGACAGTCATTACAAAATTAGTTGTAAATTAACCACCCAAAATAGATAACACATTCAATGCACCAAGTGTAGACCCAATATACATAACATATGTCAATGCATCTGTATAGTAAGTTGTTGACCCGAACAGGTTACAAATACAGAGAACAGTTGGACCGTGCCATTTGACAGTACTTAAAAGACAGATTTAGACAAAAATGTCCACAGTGAAAGAAAAGAAACATCGCACTTCCTTGTTAGAATCCTTGATACATACCAACACCTGTTGAATACAACTGATCTTGAAGTGTCATGCTGCCCTCTTGTGTTGAAAGCAAGATAGATGTATCAACAGGTCCCCTGTGCTGTGGAGTGTGAATGATGGATGAGGATGGTTGAAATGCACATCATGCATTCATTCCATGAAACAGGATACCTCAAAACTCCATTTCAAAATGTAGGCTCAGAGATTGGGGATGTTGGAAGAGAGGAAGTGAAAGAGCTAATTCCTTCGAGTAAGCCTTTTTTTGTGAGACGAAGATCGTGTCTGTTTGAAGGTCTGCGTAGAAGCTTTTGTCAACAGCATTGAGCACAATGAATATAAATTTTCACGAATCTTTCATGAAAAAGGGATTGTTTTGCATTATTCAAGTGATTATATTCTTATTCTTAACACTGTTCATGCACTGCTTTTGAGGAGCAATATTTTATTGGGGGTGGTATTTTTTATATAAATTTAGTTCTTGCAAGTTAAACGTTTATGTTTACATAATGAAAGTGGTCTTGATATTGTTAAAAGATTGAAATGGCAGGTTTTAGAAGAAAGACGTAGCTATTTCCTTGCTTGTATAATGTATAAATGTATCTATGGTTACGCTCCATTACGTTTGTGCAATGCTAGTGACATGGTTTTTGAACGGCATCCAATGAATACGAGATTGGCTAACTCAATGAGTGTTGTCCTTCCCAAGCCTAGTATTGAAATTTTCAAGAATAGTTTACGTTACGAAGGCGGCAAAGTATGGAATAATTTACCCTCTAACCTACAAACTGCACAATCCATCGACTGTTTTAAAAACATGTATAAAAAACCTATTTCAGCAAATTATGAATAATATCATCGTTGTTTTTGCTCTTTTTGCTTTAAGTTTAATTTGGTACTTCATGATATAAGTTCATTTTGTAGTGTGATGGAGTTTTGATTTTGAATAGATTAGTTGATTACTTGATTCCATTATTGTGTTTTTATATATTTAATTAAATATCATGTATTTTTGACTTGGTTTTTACTCAAGATTATGGTCACTATATATTTTTATCATGACTTCATGAGTATTTTAACAATTCTCATTATATATGTATGATTATTCTGTTTTGATGTTTTAGTGTAAGCTTTTAATATTCAGGACCAGGATGTAAACCAGTCCTTTCTGATCTTGTTATCCTGATGAAATATGTTCAAATATTTATCTTTATCTCTTTTACCAAATGAGAAATGATGGACCCTCTCATGCAAAAATTTCTTACGAAGCATACTCTGAAATAATGTGTTGTCAACACATAATTTCAAATACAATCCTTTTGTTTAATTTTATCACTTTTATTCATTATAATGCATTTCTCTGTTTATATGACTTTTTATGTTTACAGAATAGGTGTTAGTAAATCATAAGCATTTAAGATATTGGAAAGGCTTTGAAGACAAAATTGGAAGAGTTTTAAAGTAATTTGTTTTAAAAAAATCTCTTGTATTTTCCCTGTGTTTGATATTATAAGATACATACTATGATGATATCTGCCTACTTTTTGCCTCATGGGCTACAATGACATGAAAAAGTTGTAATTTCAATTAAACATTTTTAATGTTACTTTAGAAAAAAAATATTAAAGGGAAAAGGCATTTGAGCACTGAGGCCTAACCCAAGGGTACTAGTTTACTGTGACTTTAAACTGAACCTAATGTTCCTGGTTATAAGATCATAATTCTATAAACCCTGTGGTATTATACCTGTATCTCCGTCATTGTGAATGTATTGAAAAAAGGATTGAAATATATTTGTGTTTGAATAATTCATTACAGAGGACAGCATACAACAACTCCAATCTATTAACCATCATGTTCAACATCTCAGGAAAGAAAACAGAGTAAGACTAGCAGAGGTAAGAAGAAATTTCACTTTTTTAAATTGAATTGTTTTTTATTTTATTCATGTAATTAGTAATGTCATTTGATAAAATGGGATATAATTAAAGTTACGAGTACTGCAGATAGCCCATATCAGCTGTATAATGAAATTACAATTTTTTGCTTCCATAGTGTCTTCTCACTTTATCTCTCTCTTTCTGTCTATGACTTTGTATCTGTCTCTCTTTCTCTCTCCTGTCTCATTTCTTCTCCCTCCATCTCCCTTTCTCTTTCTCTTTATGACCTCATTCTCTATCTCGCTTCCTCCAATATCACACTTTTTACACCCCCTCTCTTTCTTTTTTATCTCTTTCTCTTTCCTTTCTCTCTCTCTCTCTCTCTCTCTCTTTCCCTCTCTCTTATATTCCATCTATATACATTGCTGTCTTCCCCCCTTTCTTGCTCTCTTTATCCCATTCATTCTAACTCTTTCCATTCTCTCTCCTACCCCTATTTTGTCCTTCCCATCTCCCACTCTCTCTCTCTCTCATCTATGTTCTCAATCTCTCCTTCCCCCTTCAGCCTCTCCTCTCTACCAAACTTTCTCTCCCTCCCATCCTCCTCCCTCCGTGCCTTCTCTCTTCCCCGCTCTTGGATGTTTTCAAAAGGAAATTTCTCTGAAAATGCGTGGTTAATTTCTTGTTTGTATGATATGTTCTAGTCATTGTATTATGTATGTACAAGGTAATATCTTGACGGCTTCTCTTACCTTCCCTGCAGCCTCTCAAGGCCAATTGAAATGACTATCTTTATATTATGAAATATTAAGCACTGCTTTGTAACGGTTAAATATGATGCAAATTTACACTTACTGAAAGGTCTATCCTGTGCTAGGTCATATGAGAATATCTCCTTTTTTGTCGTTGATTTAATTAAGGTGTCATTTTTTTCTGAGAATGTGAATTCTGATCATTTTAAAATGATTTGTCAGTAATACATGTGTTAGTCTACACAACTATTATATTTTGTTGTCATATATGCATGTATCATTGTTTGTGTTGCATTTTTCAAATGTTATTCATATTAGTGAAGATAATAAAAATGTACTTATATATCAACTATACATAGCTGAAAGGGAAAGGACATGAACATATTATTATTGCCTTTCTGGTTTCCTGCAGGCTTAATAACATTCTAGTAGATATATGTCAGTCATATGATGCACTACAGATGGTTTATGCTTCGAGACTAAAAACCCTGTTTTCTTCTCACTAACATCTCTGTTTCCACTCATCTGAGCAAGCAAGAAGAATAGTTTGATCAGCACATATGGGCTGCTTAGAGCCAGGAGGGTGTTAAGTCTCTATAAAGGTGTATGAGTTAACACCTTTCTATCTCTCTTCAGATGCTAATGCTTGATGTTCTTTTTCCTTCAATGTGAGATGGCTGGTCAGCTAGAAAGCTCTTAATTGATTGTGGTTGCAGTTATCTTTGTCATCTTTTCTCCAGGGCTCTTTAAATTATTCAAGTCGGAGCATCCATCGTCGTTGTCGGAACAAGCGAATATGTTTCCTTAGTTTGCAGGCGTAAACCCTTTTGTCGGTCGTTGTGCGTATCATTGTCTGCAATGTGAGACTATGCATGGCTCTGAACTGTAGCTGATCTTGACACAGCCACACACTGATAGAGCTAGGCTCTACTCAAGGTTTCAGGATTTGCGGTTTAGTATCAAAATCAGAGTCTGAGCCTGTAGACTAGTGTTTCGTCAGCATAGAGGTACATCCATCCTTTCAAGAATTGTGAAATGGAGGAAGAGAGATCTGAGGCTGATTTAAAAGACAATGCTAATGTTTAGTTCACCTGATTGCAGTGAAAGCAAGTTTGCTTTCTAAAGCTATTTAAATTGTAATGTAGGTATTAAAGCAGCTGGAGACCTATGGCATTAAGTCCTATCCGAGGGACTTGGTCATTGAGAATGACTGCTATATTGAAGGTCAATGGCTCGCTCCCAACCCAACACCCCCTGGTTCCACCACCTGCCTCTCTACTTGGCCACCTTTCCTCCATTTGATGTTTGGTAGGAAGAGATAGCTGTGTAATCACTGGTTTTAAAGGTACTATGTCCCTTTTGCAGCCAACCTCAAATTCTGTAGAACTTTGAAGGAATTATGAATATGTCATGTATGTTCTATCTGTGAAATTTAAACGTTAGCAGTGTCCTCATATTCAAATTATGCAAGGAAACATGTTTACTTGCTAGACTTCACTGTCAGACACTATTGAGTGACTGACTGGCTTTTTTCCTTCTTTGGTAATAACATACATGAAAAGAGTTGTATAGGGTACATGAGCATTTGTCTACATCAATAACCCACTTCTTGTGATGGCCAAGATTAAACTGATTGAATCTTTGCGCAGCATAAAACTTATGACCATTCGGTACAATTGTCTGAAAATCAAGACTATTACTTTTGGGCTCTATAGCCCTAAAGTCGATTTGACAGCTAATAGTCGTTATTTTCCCCCTTGAAGACATTTTCAAGCCCCACCTTTTTTAGGGAAGTTCTAAATAAGTATTATCTTTCAAATGCAGTTGAAATTCAACTTTTTCATTTTTTTGGCCTGCAAATGGGACATAGTACCTTTAAATTAAAAAGTTCAATTTTAACTCTCTTTCTACTTTTGAAATTTTGACAATATTTGGATGTTCAATTTTTACCTCAATATGAAATCTTTACCTCCCCTCCAAATTGTTCAGCTTCTCTGCTACAGCCTTCATCAGTGATGTGACCTGTCTTGTCTTATCTGACATACTTGGCAATAAATAGGTCATAGACATTCTGAAGTTTGTAACGCCCACACCCCCCCCCCCCCCCCTGTTGTTGAGATTTTGACAGTGATGTCATTGGATCATGTCAAGGTAAAGTTATCTTTTCGCTGAGAACAAAATGATTTACAATTAAATGTCCCTTTCTACTGTTTATCGAAAGAGCATTGTAAAAATAGGAATCAAAGAAAAATATTATAAAAGGGAAGAATATGACTGAATTCCCTAGGGGTCAGTGAGATGGTATGACAATCTCTCGTCATACAAAGGTTGATGATCATTCAGCGTCTAATCAGAAGAGATTAGCGTAAGAAAGATTGTAGAGCAAACAAGGACCAGTGGCCATCGTGTCTGTGTCGGTGTATGCTTAAGGTCGTCATTCCAATGGCCGACGTCATCCTGAGAGGGAAACGGGGCTGTTTTCATCATCGATTGTTATAAGAAGGCAATCAATAGGGTGCGTTTGAGCATGAACTAAACTCTCTTCCGTCCATGATTGAGGGCCACCATCCTCCTCGTCTTCCCCCTCAAATGTGCTGAAGGACCACTGTCCAGTTCCATGTTTTTTCAGAGTTTAACCACCATCTTTCTATAGGGTTTGTGGTTGATAGCTAGGGTATGATTCATACATGAGGTCATTTGAAATAAGGTTGATGAGTTGGGCAATGCTTGATCACGACCTCTTAATTTCTCTGCTCTGTTAAATTTTACAATTTGAATAATTTTATTCTGTCCTGATTAAACTACCTTAGAATTTGTCTGAGGTTATGAAATGTAAAGCTGTTCTCTTCACTTTATAATTCATATTCATGAATATAATTCTATATTAAAACCAGGAAAGCAACTCGTTTGTGTTGAACTTGTCAGTTAAAAAAATATAAGACAAAAGTAATCACATTTAATTTTACATAAGTATTTATTCAAAAGAAAATCTTTATTTCAGACATTAAATGTCAAATTATAATAATGTTGTTAATGATTAGTCAACATATTCCACTACTTCACATATTTTACATTGTTATCTAATTATTGTAAAAAAGAAAATAATTTCAGTTAGAACTTTGAATGATACCCTGTAAAATAGATACAGATAAATCGGTGAAAGGAAGTCTTAATAGTGTTCATACAAAGAATAGATTGAAGTTTATTAGACCTCATTTGTTCATTATCTATTTTGAGCAGGCATGCCCACACCATTTTAAATGACTTCTTAGAAAATGGATGTTCTTTTAATGTAGGGAACAGACAAGATGGAGGAGTTATTCATAGGTCTGGCTTAAGCTTTGATGAAAAAAGCTGGATTTAGTATTATTTCCCACATCGTGATTCCTCAAGGGGACAAAGGGAAAACAAGTAGAATCCCTCTTCTAGTGATCTTGTTCCATCACATCCGCTTCAAAGAGTGAGGAAGAGAAGAGAAATAGAGAGACAGAGAGCGAGAGACAGAGAGAGAGTGAGAGAGAGAGAGAGTGAAATTTAAAAATAACCATATTATTTAAGTTTTAGGAATATTCAATATTTATAAATAGCAATTGCTTAGAGCCAAATACTGCTCATTATTGCTCTCATTTCATAGCATAAAGTTTATTTTCCCCCAAACCCACTACTGCTATTAAATGATGGAAAACATGGCCTTATTTGTTTACAAGTGGTTAGAAGGAGATGGAGAATATGCCGTTTGGAATCCATGTTCCTCTCACGCCCGCCCGCCCACGACTCTATCTTTAGACCTGTGGGCATGCGGGACAACGGGGGCGGTGTGCATGTACATCCTTTATTTGACCATGTTGCATCTCATGCCCGTGGGCGAGACTAGTAGTTTCCCTGTCAGACTGAAAGTGTAATTATTGATGGAAGACAATTATTTTGACGGTTTCCCTAAGGATATCCTGGTTCATACAGTTAAATCAAAATTTCATTTGCAGATTAGCAATTATTTTCGTCCTATCGCAGTTGGAAAGCTCAAGATAAGGATTATTTAGGAGTAATCTTAATTCTTGTATGTATTCACTTGCTTGTTTTGTAAGGCAATGTTTTACAAGATGGCAAGGATTGAAGTACTTCTTTGAAAGAAATAAAAAAAAGCCTAAACAAATACACAATCTTGAATATATCTTTTTCTTATTCTTGTTTCAATTTTATGCACTGATTGCATTTGATCCATATATATAGTTTAATTCGTTACTAGATATTTGACTGACTTTGACA